GTCTTTCACATACATGAATAGAATATTAATAAATAAGTAATAAGTAAATAATAATAACACTACGAGTATTCAAGGATATGTTGAAAGTTTAATTTTTCGTCACACACAAATTATTAAATACATATACACCTAAATAACAGTCTTTGGCACAAACACAAAAAACTCATCAGAGTAAGAAAACAAATGACAAATAGCTTTAAATTATGTCTGATTTGCCACTTCGCTATTAAGAGATATCAATTATAAGATCAAGTTGTCAGATAATGTCTTTCAAATCATTCACATAATCTACTACAGTACTATGCATAGAATAGAAAACACTGCTCGGCTACGTGCTTGGAATCTGAAATAAAGTTTATAAAGTAGTTGAATTGAATGCTGAACCTGCTGCCCCTTTCTTAACATTAATCAACATTCCTCACCATGCGGCTTAATTAGCTTAATTTAAATGTCAGCTTATCTGACTCCCCGGCCAACTACTGCAACCTGATACTCATGCACGAAATAACTCTTTTGTGGCTGCGATATGAGCCGCCAGACTGCAGAAACTGTCGCTCCATTGCGCATTATAAGTTAAGTCCCTTGAAGAGGTTAAAACGCACACTTAGCACAGCTTGCCTTTCTCCGTGCACATGCATTTACACACACATTCATACAAGCTGCACACACACAGTCACACACACTCATATTTGTACTTTTGCGTTTTCATTTCAACATTTAAATATTCATGTGGCTGCTCAAATTTAAATTGTGGCCGCTCTGCGTCCACGTTGACTCACTATATCTGTATTTGTGTTTGCTTATGTATGCTCGTATATAAATTTGTATAAAAATGGGCATTAGTATGTGTGTGTGTGTGTGTGTGTGTGTGTGTGTGTGTGTGTGTGTGTGTGTGTGTGTGTGTGTGTGTGTAGTGGAGTAACCGGCAAAATGTACAAACATTTTATAAAAATGGTGCTACGGTTTTTGCTGCGCTTTTTTCGCCACCGAGCTTGGTTAGCCAAGCGTTGTTATTTACAATCAACTCACAAAATAAAAAGCAACAACAACAGCGACTATAACACCAAAAACTGGCAACACAAAATCCGTAGAATACAAAAAAAAACACCCGTTTCCACCGCACATCGAATTTCAAGCGTAAACGAAATAAATACGAAGCCACCCGCGACCCACCAACACTGCAGCAGCAGCATCAGCACCATTTTTGGATCGGATCCGATATTTGGGTTAGTTAGAAAGTTTTTAGCTGACTGCCGGTCAAGTGAGTAAAAATCTGCAATGGAAAATATTTGAAAAATGCAGCAAAGCGAACAAATTCTATGCAAAATAAATGGCTGTGCTGAAATACATACACCTGTGCGTCTATTTAAGAGCTTTGAGTGCCCAGACAGCCATTGGAGAGGGGGACAAAAGGTAGTGGCAGCAGCGGACAGCGAGATAACAACAACAGACACACACACAGACGCACGCACGCACCAACGAAATGCAATCAACACATGTCACACGAGGCGTATGTGGAATATTGTTCGCCCACGCATGTCGAGTATCGGTAATAGAACAAACAAAAATACTCTGCCACATAGTAGACGAGTGTCGCATGTACTAGAATTGAAGATAATAGCATTTTATGACAAGTTGCATCGAAATAAATATTTATTTGAAATATTAAAATATTTATAGATTCCTTTTGTAATAGACTTGTCTGCAACTTTCTTGGGCCTAATATTGTTTTGCTTACTTCAAAATCATAAACATCCTATAACATAAGCTAATTGTTTACGCTAATTAAGCCGTCCACTGCCAGAGTCTGCTCCCACATTGTCATGTTTAGCTGTGAGCGCATTTTTTAATTTTTTATTAATTTTTTAACCCCATATTAGTGCCCTACTTCAAAGCCAGGCTCCACCTCCCCATAAGAACTAACACAATATTATTTATACCAACATCTAATATATAGTATGCTGAAGATACAATTTCTGTTAAATATTGCATTTACTCTTATGTATTCAATATTTAACTTTAATATTTACTTTCTAATCATTTATGCTAAGCTCCAAATATTTCTTCACCTAAAGCAGCCATACTGTTGCCCTCTCGCAGTTGCAAACATTTGAACCGACTTCATAAACTCCACTCTCTATAGGATAACTGCATCATGGGTATTTGACTGCGATTTCCAATTCGGTTTTCAGCATTCCACACTTAATGCGCACGACTGCAGCGAAAGATTGTGTGTGTGAGAGAGCGGGAGGGAGGGGGATGCGGCAGAAAAGTGTGGCATGTACGTGGCAGCTGCAATGACATCGACTTACCATACTCGTATATGAAAAACGTTTTTTGCAGATTTCTGCGGCAGTTATTACAAAAACTATGCAAATTGCCACAAACACAGCGCCCGCTGAAACTTTGTCGGGGATATCTCAACCCCTAAATCATCCGCATGTGGCAAAGAAAATGTAAACTGTTGCTGTTGTCGCCGCCAACATCATCCTTCGCGCTTTGCGTAATTGCACAATTTTCCACTTCAGCTCACATGCGTCGGGCCAATATTTGCTCTTTCCTTAGAAGAAAAACAGCAGCCAAGACAAGCAGCAGCACCTCCACTTTTACAGTTTTGAGTCCTCCAAGGACTTGCAATCGCAAACAGCTGCTCGCAAATCCTGCTCTACCTGCAGCTCTGTTCGGAGCCCCTCTCTGCCACAACGCAATGCACTCAACAATTCCTTGGCGGAAACAGCTGTCCAAGTCTTGTCTAAAAAATGTCAAGCCAGTTAATTAGCGTCTCAGCTGCATGCACAGCCTAATTGAGTTAGGACAGCGGGTCAAGGCACAGCCTAAAAGCCTAAAAGGCAGTTATAAAAACAACAACAGGCGCTTGACTGAAATTTCAAGCAGGCCAGCAAAAAAAAAAACAAAAAAAAAACAAATGCACGCCAAGCAACCTTGGTAATGAAAAACAACAAACAGGGCAAGGCCACATGCCAACAGCAGCCACACTCATAGACACAACAACAGGTTGTGTCTTTGTCTGGGGTGTGGTGGCTTGGGAGGTTGAACGAATTTTATAAATATTGTATGCACTCGCTTTTGGCGCTGGGCTTCTGGTTGCTGCGTCCATAATACAGACTGACAACCATTTTATTTACATACATAGTTAATTTTTTTCGGGCTTGCTTAATTCCATTTTCACTATTTTCCCCACTTTTTTCGCACACTCGTACATTCATTATACAAGTATTCCATTATTTTTGCAGCTCAAATATTTGGGCCTTAAGTTGCGGCAACATTTAAGCTGCCAAAACAACCATGTTGCGTCAACATTTGTATTGCAGCCATGTTGCTATTACTCGTACAGGATGTTTCTAGCGATAGTAGTGCTTCAATGCTACTTATATTTTCGATTTATGCATTTAACGTCACATTTTTTATCATTAATTGTGAGCATACTTCTGCACCCTCTTCAGCACCTCTTCTCGTTCTCCAGATCCATTAAAATAAAATCTTCACTCCATTATGTCTAGCCTAATCCCCTAATTAATAACCAATTACTGACAACACAGCATATTCGTAATATACGTTTATTAAAAACCACTTAACACTATTCGTTCCCTTCATTCAATTAATTCATACCTTAGCCCTTTAGGGCGGGCCAAGTTCATAAAATGCCTGAAAGAGTTTTGACAGCTCGACCCCATACATTGCAACCAGTTCATAAATTATGATTGAGCTCGAAATCTGCCATTAAGCATGAGTCTGCATACCCGGCAGCATTTTGCCGGTCACCCACGCCCCCACCTTCGTGTGGTTTATGGCCTTTGCATTTCATTTTATGGGCTGCATAAGCAAAGCAGAGTCGTCTGACTAGAGCGACTATGGCGTCTATATGTGTTAGAGGCATTAGTTTTATGACTTTGCTGATTTTATGGGCGCCGTCATCGTTTGTGCAGACTGTTGCTTTATCGAGCTGAGAATCATAAACTAGTTACATGCAGATGTTTCCTTTTTTGGCAACACTTTTTTAAGGACTACAATATTTAATAAAGTCATTTTTTAGCACAAAGTGCAGGGTTCAAAAATTAACACATTTTAAATTATAAAACTTCATAAATAAATAATAAAAAAAGCAAATCAATAATATAAATTGAAAAAAAAAAAAAAACATTCCAAGGCGAAGCAGTTTCTTTCTTAAATTCAGAGCTTAGTTGTAATGCGACTCTAATATTTTTCAGTGACTATAAAGATAAAAATGCTAAGAAGATTAAAAATTCTAATGTTGATAGTGAAATTAGGCAAAAATAAGGAAGTATGTAGATTTTGGGGGTAATGGAATTTTTATCAAAAGAAATATCTTTTTTTCGCTGTATTTTTTTTTTCAATACGACGGCAATTTTATAAGTAACAAAGTATAACCTACAAAACACCTTAACGCTAAAATCATCTTCAGACAAAAAAATACAAATTTACTTACAGCTGAGAGGAAAAAAATGTCTGTCAAATTATTTGTGTTATCAAAGAAAACTAGACGATTATAGCATTACTTAATTATTTCGATATTGTATCAACAGCCCTATTATGGCCATTATCACATAATTTCTCTGCTAATTGAAGTACCACACATTCGCCGATCTATTTAAATTTAAGAAAAATATCCTTCGAACTACTAAGCTCGAAACGAAAATCTGCTTAGCCTCAAACTTATTTCCTAATGAGGAGCTTAACAGAGTCTGGCTTATCGAATTGTTTGCAACTTTGGTTCAACAATTGTTTCAACTTTATGCAGCAAGCACTGCAAATCCCATCCCCACACCCCAAAGAGCAACTCACACACATCATATACTCTCGCAATCCAACTCATACTCGTACTCCCACACCCTTCGCATTTAACATTTGCGAGTACGTGCGGGCAACTTTTGATGGCGTTGGGACGCAATTTAATTTCGAAGTGTCGAACTCTCTCAATGTCTGCTCTCATACTGTCTCCATGTCTCGTCTACTTACAGACGACAATTGGGGCCTACCACTGGCCATAGCCGCCAACTTGCATATACCATATCGTATCGCAATTGGTGACACGATACGTGACCTGCATGGACAGGATAAGCCCGGCCAAGGTAAGTGCAACAACAATAAAAACCACAGTAAGAACACCAACAACGCACCCACAGAAAATCCAGTCAATAGCAATAAAATTGTACGGGTCTGAACAGAAAATGGGAACTCCTCCAGGCCGAAAAACAAAAACAAGACGAAACAAAACTGTCTGCCTGCACTCAGAAAAAAATAATTTACTTAAATTGAACATAAAACAATCTCCTGTATTGGTTTGAAATTTCATAGATTTATGGGTTATCAGATTGATATACGAATATGAAAACAAAATTCTTATGAGTGTATAAAGGTTTTTAAATTTCCTAATGAATTCTTGGGCTATCAGTTTGATTACGAATATGAAAACAAAATTCATTTCAGTATATAAAGGTTTTTAATTCAAAAGATCTTCGTAACAGAGAAATAATATTTAACTTATTATTAGCGCACTATTTAAAGAAAATACTTCGAAGTTAAGATTAAATTTTATGCACTCTTAACCTTTGGGGAAAAGTCCGGCACTGTATGTGAATTGTCGTGTTCAGAAGTTCTTTCAATCGTCATTTAAAGGAATCCGTTTTATTTGTTTTGGGGATTAAAAATCCACATTTTGAGATTGTTTTTACGAACCTCTTGAACATATTGAACATATAGATAGAGACAGTTATATTCACTTTTTTGCGAGTGTACTCATGCATATCTCTTTATCCATCTTATCCCCTTCTCTGTGTCCTTCATTTTACGGTCGAAACAAAAAAAGCAATTATTATCACAGCGCCTCTGAACGATGGCAGTACATTGCGTTTGCTGAACAACACCAAATGGGTCGCCCAACAGCCACCCGGACAGCAACAACAGCAGCACATCAAAGTGTTGCTCATCGATATTGTGGCGAGCTCATTGAATGCCGAGCATCGCTTCTACAAATATTTGGCACGCATCAATGCGGCCGATGCCACAGCCGCCAATGGCTTTGTGAATGGTGGTGGTGCTGGTGGTGCTGGCCTGGCTACCAGCAATTTGCTGGTGTTGACCATGCTAAGCGATAAGTACCGACACTTTTTGAATGAGCCGCACGGTGGCATGGCAGCCGTACAGAACTTTCGACAACGCCAACGAACTATGCCAACCACCACGAACAACAACAATAAAAATGCCACATGGACATTGCCACAATGTGCCCAGCAGGCGGATATATGTCGGAATATCGAGATGATTATGCAGCGTTGTGACCGGGCATTAAACAGCAGTCGAAATGCCACCCAAAAGGACTTGCAACATTTGCTGGAAAGTCACTGCAACGCCACACCGTCGAATGCAATTGAAAAGTTGCGTCCATTCATCGACTACTTCAGCTTATACGACTTCCTCATCGCCCACACATCCTACATGGCCTCCTTCCATGGCAATGCGTCGAAAGTCGCTGCGGTTGCCAAATACGACTTTATAGTGCTCGATATTGTGCGCAGCATGGCCCTGAATGGCAGTTACGGTCCATTTAAGTGGCGTCCACTGTTGATTCTCGAACAGCATGAGCTGAATGGTCGCACCTATATAACACACTCCATACAGCCGGGCTACGACGATTGGTTGCTGGTTAGCAGTGTTCAATTGTGGCACTGTGGCGCCATCTGCTGGACCATTGTGGCCATCTGTGTCGGATTGCTTCTCATCATTGTTGCAGCCAGTGTGGCCGCAGGCATTGCTATGAGGTGAGTACCTTAATCTATTTAAACCATTTATAAATCAGAAACCATATTTCAATTAAAACAAAAAGAGCATATAAATTGTGTTTAAATTCGCAAAGGGATCACCATTTACGAACTTTAACAATTGGGGATTTTCGAAAGAAAAATAATCTTGAGTGCAAAAAATGTTGAACATTACTGTAAAATTCGTAGAATCTGTTATAAAACAATACGAACGAATATTCTTTGAGTGCAAGCTTGTATATAGTAAATATTTTATATATCTATTTTTCTAATCGCCTTAAATAATTGTTTCTTTTTTCAAGCGTAACTAATTATAGTAATGCTTGATACTTAATTGTTAACAGATTATTCATTTTTAAACGGTGATACAAAAATAAGCTATAATTTAAAGACCAAAAGTTAATTACATATTGAAAAGACTAGTCGTTAACATTAAGTTCTAAAAGTATGTGGAACTTTCAAACCATCGGATAACGAGTGGAAAGGACGATTGAAATGCGACATAAATTATAAAGAGTAGAAGTTTATACCAAAATTGAGTTAAGTTTAGAATTACATAACTCCATTTATTGATGATATACAAATCTATCTATTAGCATCGTGTCAGTCTCAAAAGTGTTATGGCATACCAAATATACTGTACAAAAAGAGTTTCCAATTTTTATTTAAAAACATCACTATAAATATTGCACTATGTAGTTCTATATATTTTTTCAATTATAGATCTTCCATATATGTAAAGTAAATATTAATGGCATACTGCGGTGTCTTATGAAAACTGAAAGTCAATAAGAAGCCATAGTCTCCAGTTGGGAAAGGAAAAGGAAATTTGTTGGGTGGTACCCAAAAATCCTTTATCTCTTGCAAGCCCTATAAAAACGATTTGTGTTATGAAAGAGGTTCAAAATAATTCTTAATCTATGTATAGTTATACCAGATAAGGACACGTATGATTAACCGTTGTAAAGTCCTTGATCATCTCAGAAATTAATTTAGCAAATGGTTGACTTCTCCTACGCATATATTCACAACCATTGAAGGTATAGTCCATGAGCCAGGGCTTATACCCATTTGCTTTTTTAACCACCTGCAATCTTACCAAAATATTATCGATCGGATGTAGTATGTTGAATACAATATTCAAATTAATTTGGTTGCGTCCAAATACTTTCAAACGGCAGAGATCGAAAACAACCCACGTTTTATTGTACGACTCACAGACTGCGTTTGTCATTTTTAGCATATTTGCGTGCTAAAAAAAAAAGTCGAGAAATGCAAAATTTTAAAGGCCAATATGCGCCTATAAATGTTATTTATACCCACACTTTGGCTTAAAGTCGCAAGCCAGAACAATATGAGTGTTAAAGTAATTTGATTTCTTTCCATAGCTCGAGCTAAAAATGTTTCACACTTTGCACGCTCAAAAACAACTAACTAAATAAATAGCGGAACAACCTTTTTTATTGCTGTCATTATTTAGTATTTAGCTATTTTTCATATAATTATCCAGTTCATTATTCAGTAGATTAAATACTCGTCTAACGAGAGCGGCAGTTATTCGGTTTGTGGGACCGGGTCTTACCAAATCCACATTATTATGATTTTCATGTTGCTCATAATATATTTAATATATAACTGCTATTTTTTAAATGAATACAGGACTTCTCTTCATACTAGCTCAGCAATCTTCTGCTTTTGCCGCTCTTTCATATTCTACTCTGCACGGAGAACACAAACTGCCAGAATTGTCAAAAAACAACTAAATTATTCTATTTATCGAAAACTCATTTCGCCATCGAAACAGACACAGTTTATATAATATATATATATTATTATAATCAAACCAACACCAATTAAATACTATTTTTTAAATATAATATTTCTGCTTCGCTTCTAACACGCAAAATGGAAAGTTTTACGCGTAATTCAACGCTATGGTTTCAACGTTTATTAACTTTATTGTGCTACTCACGTGCCTCGGGAGTTTTCCAACAAACGGAATTATAGCAGTTGTTTAAAAAATACTCGCTCTATACAGAATGCACATTTTATTAAATTTACCAATGCTGTGTACGAGTCGCCCAATAAGTCGTGGGTTGTCGTCGTCCTTTGTCGATTGAAAGCAGTGCAACGAAATAAGATCAATTTAAATACTTTCCTAACTTTCTACATCCGGCCAATGACATATTTTTGAAGGTAGAAGTGTTGAAGAAAGCAAATGGATACAAGCCCTGGCTTATTAACTACACAATAGATTGTTGCGGTTTTATGAGAAAAAGGCATCATCCATTTTTTCGAATATGATAAGGGATTAATCATCGATTAATCATACGTGTTCCTATACGGTATTCGAAAACATTAACTAACTTTTTCTAATCATAATAATAATTTTGTTGTAGGATGTTAACTTTAAACAGCACTTTTGGGTTGGAGCTGAAGGTTCTCCCAATTCACTGCCCACCGGAGAATACGGAGTGTTATTGACTTGGATGTTCAATAAGAAGCCTCAATTTTCTACAAATGTGTATTTTACATTTACGGAGAATATTTTGTGATTTGATCAATGGTTTGATATGTGTAATCGTTTTATTGACCAATCGTGATCGTAGTATTTTTTCAACAACCCAATTATCCCATTTCTGCTGTTAATTTTATTTGTATTTGTTTTAATTAAAATCACTAATTTTTTTTATAATGGAGCTTAAGAAATTGTTTACAACAAATACTTCATATAGAGAACTAAAGCCTTTTGTTGTGATTTGAATCACACAAAATCTTCTGTATATGAAAAGTACACATTTGTAGAAAATTGCGACTTCTTGTTGAATATCCAAGTGCACAATACGCCGTATTCTCCAGATGGAATTGCATGTGGAAAACTTTCAGCACCAACCCAGAAGTCCTTCAGAAAGTTAATGCCCTAAAATGTGATTTTAATTAATTAATATCGCATTATCATTGTACTTATATTCCTACCGTATAGGGACATGTATGATTAGAGGTTGAGAAATTCTTTATCAACTTCAAGCCCAATTTCACAAGTGGATTATTCCTCCTTCGCATAAATTCGCAAGCATCGATCGTGTAATTTATGAGCCACGGCTTATATCCATTTGCTTTCTTCACCACTTGCAGCTTTAAAAATATATCATTGGCCGGATGCAGAAACGTAACGAAAATATTTAGAGTAACCTTATTCCGTTGTATTGCTTTCAATCGGCATTGGTCGATAATAATCCAAGAATTATTGTGAGATTCGCACACAGCATTCGTAAACTTAATAGTGTTTGCATTCTGTATTGAAGCGAAAACTATTATTCATAAACATTAATTTCTCAATTTCTATATTTACGTTCTGTTGAATAGCCCCGAAGCACGTTAGTAGAACAAAATAAAATTTAAACGTTACACCCATGATGTTGAATTTGAAGTGATAGAAGCAAGCAGGTACATTGTAACTATTAATGCGAAATATGGTCATTATAATATAGTTTAAGCTAATTATACGATTTAACTTTTTATGGCTGCTGATTTCGATTGCCCAGGAATGAGTTTTCCATAAGTAGTAGAATAATTTTGTTATTTTTGACAATTATGGCCATTTGTATTTTCAATGCGGAAGAGATCAGTGCAATCAATAATTTTAAATTGGTTTATGTGTTTAAAGTGAAATAGAAACAAAGCTGGTTGATATTGAAAATATGTATAACGCCAAGAAGAATATCCAATATTTCTAAATCGTTCAAAAATGCAATTACCTTAACTTAACTTATATTAAACTAACTTATATTAAACTAATAGTACCCAGACACCGATTTCAGTATATTCAGAGATATGTAGCAGAGAGCAGAGAAAAATTGAATTAGTATTATTTCCAGATGAATGTTTCTTACGGTTAAATTGTCAGCTCGGAGAAGAGGTAAAGCGCAAAAAAAAATAAATTAAATTAAAATTTTCGAAAAGAAAAATAATTCGATTTAGTTAGAAAAAACCAAGCTGTATGCAATAAAAATTCCGTTTTATGTTGAAAATAAAAAACCTAAAAGTTTAAGCAAAATTTTAAGTTGTACCCTTAAAATACTATAAATTGTGAAAAAGAATAAAAATAAATTAAAGCTGAAATAGACAATCGGATAGATAGGATGCTGCCTGACTTGCATTATTATTAAGCTGAACTTAACAAGAAATCTTAGAGCCGGCTTATTTTTATTACCAGTTCGAAATGTGAAAATAGTTCTTCGATATGGTTCTAAGCCACTTCCAAGTCGGTTCACAAGCTTAAGGTATAGCCAAACATATAGATAATCCGGCAATTCCATAAGAATATCGGTTGATCGCCCTTGGATCAATACATACACAATATTTAGAGAGTTATTTTGAGTTTTGCCTTACAGATCTTCTGAATATGAAAAGTACACATTTGTTGCATACTGCGGCTTATTATAGTAAGTCCAATTCATTAACACGCCATAGTCTCCAGTTGGTAACGGAAATGGGAATTCGCTGGATGGTACATAAAAATCCTTTAGCAATTGGCGACCCTGTAAAAATGTTTTAAAGTGTTATTTATGCATAAGTATTCCCGATCTGGGTACAGTGTTTACCACATAGGGACATGTATGATTAACCGTTGTAAAGTTCTTGATCATTTGCCAACCGATTTTCAAGAATGGATGATTTCTTCTTTCCATAAATTGGCAGCCATTAATTGTATAGTCAATGATCCAAGGCTTGTACCCATTTGCCTTTTTAACCACCTGTGTCCTTATCGCGACATCATTGGTCGGATGTAGTATGTTAAGTACAATGTTCAAATTGACTTTATTACGTCCGAATACCCTTAAACGGCAGAGGTCAATGACGACCCACGATTTATTGTATTCCTCACACACAGCATTTGTCATTTTTAGGTAAGCTGCTAGCTGCAATGGTGGAAAGAAATCTTAATTAAATTACTTTTTATTAGAGCCATATGCTACATGGAATTACATTTTGGTTTAAAATCGCAAACCAAACCAGGACCAGCAGCACTAAAGTTCTCTGTGTACTTTCCATAGCTAGAGTGAAATCTTTTTCATTTGAAAAACGAAATCATAAGCCCCATCAAGTACTTCCCGATTTATTTTAATTGATCCGGCTGCATTGAACAGTCCATTAACGATAGCAATTGTCGAAAATTGCGGCACGAGTGTGGCGTATAAATACAAGTACTTTACAATGCAATAGAGCATTCTTTAATAACTTGTTTACTATTGACAGGGCCTTTCATAATTTCCATGTTCAATATATTTATCTGGAGTGAGTCAGTAAATATTGAATATTTGTTGTGGATAGAATTGGTTGAAAAATACCAAGTCAACATATTAAGTTCAAGCTTACCATTATTATTGCTGTTTTATGATAAATGCCAATAGATTACTCTACAAGTTTCTATTGGATCCTAAAATGGGAACGGAAATTCATGTTTATATATTTACAATATAATATTTACAAATATACAAAAAACAATCAAGTCGTGTCCAGTTCTTTACAAATTTTTTGGAACCTAAAGTCTCCACTGGGAAATGGGTAAGGAAATTTTGTAGGTGGTATCTAAAAATCCACCATTTACAAGTCCTATAATTATATTTTAGAAAAATTCAAAAGCATTTATGATATATGTATATATTTATCTGATAAGGGCATCTGGCATGATATGAATTCCTTGACCATTAAAAAAACTGTTTTAATGAATGCATTCGAAGACTTTTAAGCGGTAAAACCTTACTGCATTTTGAAAAAATCGAGGAAAAGAAATTGAATGAATTTGCAGTTCGACATACTTGTATGTCCTCATAGAATTAAATTTTGGCCTTAAATCACAAATCAAAACAGTAGCGCGACTATATTTATTAGCTTTCGTTCTATAGTTTGAATAAAGTATTTTTCATTTTGCTTGCTTTGGTATCATGGGTATCATGACATTATATAATATTATGACTCTTAAGTATTTAACCATCCATTAGCCACTGCAATTGTCCAAAAATTGTGATTTATAAAAAGTCCGAATGTATACGAGAAAATAACATCCACTTGCATTTATTTATTGAAATCGTCAAAAAAAAAGGGAACAATTTTATGAAATAGATTTGCCCCACATTTATTTATTTAATCACCAAATGTCATCTGTGAGATTATCGTAAATACCAGTGATGGACATATAACGATTGCACACGATATTTCAAGGAAAAGCACAATAAAACG